TATCAGAATCCAATTCTTCATCTGAGTGCCCACTATAAAAATTGTCATAGTTATATTTATCCAAGTCTAATTCTTGTAGCGAATATGAAATTAATATTGCTGTATTTATTAAACATTGATCATCACTAGTTTTGCAGTAATCTGCTAAACTTTCACGGAATTGATATCCAAAGAATGCTTGAAGCTCTGATTTGGGAACTCCATTATTCTTTAAAAGTTGAATTGCTATACAACAACAAGAGTGATTGGTAATTAACTGGTTGTTATCAAGATTGATTCTAGTATTCTTTGCAATATCATTTAACATTTTTCTAAGTTTTGCATAACCTATCTGGTTACTCTTAAACCAGTGACCCTTTCTTAAATCTAGTATTAAAAAAATTATCATTATACATATATAGCTAAATAATTATGCATACATATGTATTTACCTTGTTGTCTTTTACAGGTTTCATGAAACATGGATCCTTCAATAAAGTTGAATTGGGAGTTTAGATAAATATAGAAAAATATCTTTAACTGGGGTATATTGATTGTTAGGTGAGTTAGAAGGTATGAGAATATGCCGTAAACCAGTTTTTCCATACTTGTTTCAATAAAAAGCTCCTTCCTGATTATTCTTTTTCTTATTTAGAATAAGTTCCAATCCACCATCATGACAACATTAAAGATCATTTCTATTAATACGATATACATCACTACCTCGTAATCCATATAATAAGCACAACCAAAAGAAGACACAACAGCATAGAGATTTATTTGAATTGACACCTATGTATAGGTGAGTAAGTATCTGTTCAATTTCTTCAGAAATCAATTTGTCTGATTTTTTTGGATCACCAAGTTCTTTATTTTGTAAAATTCTCATTTTTCCATTTAGCGTACAAAGAGCATGAGAAAATTTATAACAATCCTAAATTTTTATTGATAGGATAACACTGTGTTCTTTAAAATATCAGTTAATAGCACTATAACAATTGTGAACTGACTCCACCTTATAATCAAAACCATTCTTTTTCTTTAACTATGTTATGAATTAACACAAGTAGGTTTCAAGTTCACCAATATTATTAATTAATTCGATAGTTTGAGTTTTACTACAACTTTTATTAAATCAGTTTAGTGTTCTAATCCACTTTGTTGTATTTTTTTCAGTATTTGTTATAAGCAATACATCTTGTAATTGGTTTATTTCATCTTGCGTTAGAAGTTGCGAAGCCAAATTAAAATTCTTTTTTTTTTTTAATACAATACAAGTTCAGTTTTTCGTAAGTATAGGAAAGAGTTCAATAAAGAAAGTAAACAAAGTATGTGATTAAAAAGTATTTATAATATATATATATATATAAATTTTTTTTTTTTTTTTTTTTTTTACACAATATGAATCTCAGTTTTGTTAAATGTGAGATAGAATTTTGAAAAAGAAAGTGAGCGAAAATATAAACAATAATTAGAAAGTGATCATATATATATGAAAAAGGTTAGTGCTTATATCAGAAGCATCAGATAACCATGTTATCAGTTAAATTGCAAATGACAAATCTGATTATTGTCAGGATTTATAATGCAGAGCCTGTGCTGCTTCGTGGCATGGGCTCTGCATTATATCCCAATGATAATCAGTTATTGTCTACAACATAACTAATAACAAGTACATATCTATGCAAACTTTACTTAGAAAGCAAAATATGTCTACTGTTTATTAGACCATATCAAATTATATGGTAGAGTAAAGGTAGCCAAAAATATTTTCATCTAAACCTATTTTATTATATTAGATTTAAATAAACTTTTATTTTTAACTATTTAATTTAAAGGGTGTGGCGACTTAGTGAAGTAGTGGAGTTGTTGCACCCCCAAATAGCAGGTCTAGAGTTTAAATCCCACGGACGACGATTTTGAAAAAACTAGATCTGTATTGGTTAACATTAAGATTATCAGTTGGATCCAGATATCTGTAATCTTGGTCACACCATCTCGAATGGGAGCTTCGGTATAATAAATCCAGGAAATCAGAATTACCAAAAACCCGTTTGGCAAGTCCCGAGTTGGAAGTAGTAGCGATCTTTGACGGTGCTACAGGAAGACTAAATTTGGAACCAGAAACTGAGACCGGAGAACCGAGCGACTAGGTCCTTAAGAAGGGGGGACACACCAGCCGAACCGCCAGGTCGCCAAACCGGAGGAAAAGGACATGTGCTCTGGAAGCATGTACC